ACATAGTCGAGCACAGAGTCCCATGTCATGGAACTACTAGGGACAAACCTCAACAAAAACCATTGCACCTCTCCTCAGAACTTCTTTGCAAAGGCACGTTCCAGAAGGAAATGTGTGACAGTCTCCTCCCCACTGCAGTTGCTATGAGAGCAGTGTGTTGTGGCGGGGAGAGTGGATTTGACGGGTAGTGCCCTCCTAACCACGAGCTAAGCTATGATGTGATGCTTGTTGGAAAATTCTGGCAATGAGGAACAATTCGAAACAATCAACCCTCTCCTTTTTCGTCAGGATGTCAAATGATGCTATGTGCTGACCACTGCCTGATAGACTTGTGGCCAAAGATATTTTTCTTTGCAAATGTTTTCACGTTAGACTAGTATTATGAAACAGTCCAACTACTTGGGAGTGTTCTACAACATTGAAGACAGGCCCATCCTTCTTAACACCAGGGACAGGTAAAACCTCAGTACATAGTGACACTTGGTGTTTGTGAACCCAGGGTCTACTCACAGCTTGACACAGCCACACTCAGAGGTGGCCATCATGATGTGAGCGGCATTGGGTATGTCATCCTCTCCTTCCCCCTTCCACTTATCCAGAGTTTTGTGCATTGTATCCCTGTGGACACAGTCCACCAATGAGCTCCAAATAAAGTGGAAAATAGCTTGGGTGACTGCAGTGGCGCAGGCTCGGGGGTAGGCCAGAACTACACCACATGCAACAGCACCGAGAGTACCAGGTTTTTACCCTCAATGGAGAGGGAGTGGTGCTCCCATCTGCCCAGTTTCTACCTCACCTTGACAATATGCTCCTACCAAGTTTTAGTGCAAGCCCGACCGCTCCAACTAGAAACCCAGCACCTTTAGATAATTTGACCCGATGGCGAAGGTGTTAAAGATCTACAAGAATGTGTCAAAACACAATAAATCAGTCCAGTTCCCAAAAAAAAGGCCGTGTTCTTGCCTCGATTTACCTAGGCTCCTGAGGTCATTTTGAAGTGGTTGCAGATGCTCTTAAGTCTGCACACTGACAATGGATCCGTAACAGTATGTATGAGATCTGGTGTGCTTAACTTGCTCCAGGATGTCAGAGTAATTTTTACCTGCTTTATCCTTTTGGGATACAGTTTCAATCAATGTGAATGATAAGTTGCAGTGTACTTCTCCAAGTAGAGCAAAAGAGGCATAGGGAAGAGGCTGCTTGTATCTCTGGGGGCCAGGGAAGCAAAATTGGCCTTGGGCAGTAGAATAAGTGGGAAAAGGAAGAACAATGAATGGAGATAAGTGGAGAAATAGGTGAGACATTGTCTGGGGAAAGGTAGATATCCATCTGAGTCCTGAGTCATTTGAATTGATTGCATAGCAGTGTGTTTCACGGGCAGTTGGGTGTCCCAGAATGCTGTTGGTTCATGAAGCCATGGAGGAAAGGAGAGAAATGCCACTCTTAACATGCCCAGGTGGCAGAGGGCAACAGTTTCTGGGAGTGAACCTCTAGCTACCTGGCTAGAAGCTCATGGTGGACAAGGGATAGGTTTTGGGGAAATGGGATGGCAGGTTTATCATGGCTAGGCAAGGTGATAATAGTTGTGTTCCTGCCTTGCTGAAGAGAAGCTGGCTGTCATGTCTGGATGGTGCATGGACATGCTTTAAGTAACCCAGGTAAAAAGTAATGAATCCTTGCACACAAATATTTTGCTGCATAGAGTTGTTCTTTGCTTTCCTGAAGATGGGTCTCGCTATGATGGGCGTGCTGGATGAAGAGGATGTTGGCAGGACAGATGCTTGGTCAAGAGCTTTGTAGAGGCACAATTGAGCAGGTTTGGAGGCCAAATCTGAAAGAAATGAATCAGCACATCATCTCCTGAAGCTGAGACTACTATGGCACAGAAAAATTTGCCCTTCTACTGCCCATTGTGCAGCTAAGGAGGAACCATCCAGAAAGATACAGAAGCAGCAACATCAGGCACAGACATCTGAACAGACTGCAGAGGCACAAGATCCAGAAAATCAGGTGCCAAGGCAATGATGAGACTTGGCTAGAAACAGAATCTACTGGAGGTTCTACAACTACATTCAACTGACAGACAATGCAGAAAGTACCTCGGGCTGTGTCGTACATACGTTAGTTATTGGGTGAGCACCTGTTATTGCACAGACTGAAGATAGTCTCATGCTGGTTGCCTTGAAAGTCAACGTGGCCCTGAACTTGCTTGCAAGTAGCTTGTGCTAGGGTCCACTGAAACCTTTGCGGAATCTCTGAATCAGCAACTCACAAGTACACATCAGTAGTAACTGATGCTCTATTTTGAAAAGTTCAGGAATTTTCAAGATTCTTTTGGATGGTCCTCCTGAATGTCAAGAGCCAGGCAGCCATGGCAGTTTATTCATCAACTATTCTGTGCTCAATAATTTACATTAACTCCTGTTCACACAGTTATTATCCCTGTGTTCATTTCCTTCTGTGACCTCACCTCTTCCCACTCTATAATCTCATCTATCTCCATTACCTTCTAAGACCTCTGTTCCTCCAACTAAAGCCTTTTATACCTGCTTTATTTCTTTCACTTCGCCATCGGCGGCTGGCCTATAGCTGTTAAATGCCAAGCTCTAGAATTCCATCCCTAAACTCTCTACCCTTCCCCCTTTAAAATATATTGTCTTACAAAATGATGAACCATAAGATGGTTACTATAATTAAAATAAATTGCTGAGTTGGACAGACGTTTCATAAAAATATATTCTAAAAATGGTTACAAAATAGTTTCAAGATTAATATTATGTATTTTATATAAACATTCTGCAGAATTCTCTGACTATTACTTTTATAGACAAAAAAGTATTCTAATCCGAAAACCTCCTGCATGAGCATAAGGAGTGTGAATGAAATATTTGCCAGAGAGGATAATGACATTTATTTGGGAGATTTTACTAGTATATGTAGTTCTCCCAAGTATAAACGTGCATTTTCAAATTGCAATCTGCTTTCAATGTAGTATTCCTTTGATTTGGAATCTGTAAGCTAGCATAATTTTTAAAATAGCTGCAATCATGTTTTCATGTTGCGGCTGTAAAGGATGTTGGTGAGGCCACTTTTAGAATACTGCGTACAATTCTGTTGCTCTTCAATAGGAAGGATGTTGTTAGTCTTGAGAGGGTGCAGAAAAGATTTGCAAGAATGTTGCTAAGACTGGAGGGTTTGAGTTATAGGGAGAGGCTGAATAAGCTGGGGCTATTTTCCCTGGAGCATCAGAGGCTGAAGGGTAACCCTATAGAAGTCTATAAAATCATGAGGGGCATGGATAGGGTGAATAGCTAAGGTCTTTTCCCCAGGGTGGGGGACTCCAAAACTAGAAGGCAGTGGTTAAGGTGAGAGGGGAAAGATTTACAAAGGACCCGAGGGGTAACACTTTCACGCAGGTGGTGGTGCATGTATGGAACAAGCTGTCAGAGGAAGTGGTGGAGGCTGGTACAATTAGTACATTTAAAAGGCATCTGGATGGGTTCATGAACAGAAAGGGTTTCGAGGGATATGGGCCAAATGCTGCAAATGGGACTGGGATGTCTGGTCAGCGTGGATGTGTTGGACTGAAGAGTCTGTTTCTGTGCTGTATGATTCTATGACATTGATGACTTCCCAACAAATAGTGATCCCCACAGGACCCACTATCCTCCACATGCAGTTGTATTTAGTATCCTCTCATAAGAATAATAGAAAAATCCTTCACTTTGAATCTGTTGTGTGTTCTGATTTCCTGTTTATTTCCTTGAGTAAGATTCAAATATATTATTTAGGTAAAATGAATGAGATTTAGGACTTCTGGTGTGAAATAGTTACAAAATAGTTTCGAGATTAATACTATGTATCCTATGTAAACATTCTGCAGAATTCTCTGTGACTACTACTTTTATAAACAAAAAATATTCTAATCCAAAAACCTCCTGCATGAGCATAAGGAGTGTGTGTGAAGTATTTGCCAAAGAGGATGATGACATTTATTTTGGAGATTTTACTAGTATATGTAGTTCTCCCAAATATAAATGTGCATTTTAAAGTGCACAGTCCCCACAGAGGGTGCTGTTGTACAGGTGCCCATTTTAAATACAAATTTTTGCTAGACCAGGGTAGTCAGGGGATGTAGAGCCAAGGTGGACAAATGGAGATAGAATGCAAACTACCATGATCTCAAACATGTTCAAAGGCCTGAATAACCTCTTAAGGTTTCTACTTCCAGTCTATTCCTGTACTTTCAATGGAGTTGACTGTTGAATTGATGCAAATTAATTCTTTGGGTCGTTTAATACTTAGGAAAATTTTATATATATATATTATATATGTAAGAATAAAGGCTACACTTTTAAGATTTGAATGTAAAACTACTACAGTGCATGTGCAATTACCATATAAAATTAAACTTATTGGTCCCATTAGTTGATTTAGTCCAGAGCAGTTCAACAATTGTGATGTGATTGATGGAATTCCAGTTTTTCAGAAAACAGTTAAACAGACCAAACATTTGCCAGATAATAGAATTACTGTGCTGAATGCTTAGTTCAATATGATGGCATCATCAAGAATCCTTGATACTATCAGAGTGCTACATTCATAACCTCTGCCGTTTGCCTGAGTAAATGTCAATGTGCTCAAGGAGCGAAGGATATAAAGCAGACTACCCTATACCAGAAAGGGAGGGGGTGGGGGAGAAAAGGGCAGAATATTTATGACTTGAAGTTCCATGAGTTGCCATTAATTGAGATCAAAGCGCATAGCATTTATTTTTTACACCCATCAGTTCAAACAGTGAAGTAAATTAATGATTTAAATATGTACCATTCTTGTGCAATTAAAAGCGAAGCTGTTGGAAGGCTTTGGCTTGTAATGGTCACCCGCTACAGTTTGCTGTTTTGATATTGCAGAGTTATTTAGATTTTTGTTTGAGAAAACGGCAGTTTCAAAATGAATGATATTCAAGTGACCTAATGTACGCTTTTGTCTCTGTTCAGGAACTGGAGAAAGTAACAGCAAACTTGATAAGATCCAAGGTCACTTCTCAGTGCAAACTGGGAGAAGAAAACATCCAAGTTACAGAACAGCAGCAGCAACTACAAGAACTGAAGCAGAAATTGCTGATGGTGTCATACAAATTTAAAATTTAGTCACCATTTGTTCCTAAATTGGAATTAAGCAGATATAAATGCACATTATTTCACAGTGACTTTCTTCTTAGCATTTATCAATATAGAATCATAGAATTCCTACAGGGTGGAAACAGGTCATTTGGCCCATCAAGTGCACACCACCCCTCTGAAGAGCATCCTGCTCAGAACCATCCCCCTAATCTATCCCTGTAAGCCTGCATTTTCCATGGCTAATCCAATTAGCCTGTGCATCCCTGGATACAATGGGCAATTTAACATGGCCAAACCACTTATCCTGCACAATTTTGGACTGAGGGTAGAAACCAGAGTACCTGGAAGAAACCCACCCAGACAAGGGGAGAATGTGCAAACTCCACACACACACTCACCTAGGGGTGGAATTGAACCCGGGTACCTGATGCTAATCACTGAGCCACCATGAGCAGTTTATTAAAAAAAAATTGCACACCTTTTGATGTGGAATAATACAAACCAAGCAGTAGTGAATTAGTATCTTATTTTACATCTGTGAAAATAAATTCAGGAGTGAAGTTACTTGATTTGCTATCACTCATTCCATACTATAACACAAAATCAAAGTTACACAGAGTAAATTACACTTAGGAAAATTAATTTCTCCACATTTTAATTTTAACTTCTGTAAGTTTAAATGATATTGTTCTGGAGAAATATTATAGCATAGTATTGCTAATAAGGAAAGTGAAAATAATGTTTCAGAATTGATTTCAGCTTATAAACTCACAGTTTATGTGCTGTGTTGCCGCATTTTGAAATAACTATGTTGGTAAAAGCAAGTAATGAACTGTTTTTTAAAAAAATCTCTTCCACTGTGAGTTTTGATCTTGATCCTGTAAGATCCTTCTGAAGCCACAAGGCTTGCTACAGGAAGAGTAGAATGTGAGACTTGTTATGGAGGATCTGAGATAACAAGGTGTAGAGCTGGATGAACACAGCAGGCCAAGCAGCATCAGAGGAGCAGGAAAGCTGACGTTTTGGGCCTAGACCCTTCTTCAGAAATGGGGATATTGTTAACCTCCCAATGGCTGACTGAAAACGATTAACCTGCATACTTCCCAGTTGCTCATGTTAACCGGGGTGGAGTAGCAAATGACTCGGTGATACCGAGATAAGTATAGCAAGATACATATATTTGTGTTGCTGAACAAAGTAACCTGTTCTCCTTACATGAGTCCTCGATGCACCCCTACCTCAAAAGGAGGGCAGTTTCTTGGACCTGATAGGAATTTTGTGATTTCTGATTACTTTATTTTCTCTTCCTCTTGGTAAAATTGTGCTTGGCTCTGTTTTTTAAGCTATATCTAAGATTAGAATGTCCATACCTTGCTGCTTTATGATGAACTGCTTCACACCCTTGCCTCAAACATTTTAAAATATTAATTTTACACTTAGTTTTGACATGTTGACTTTAATTTCCCAATTGCAACATAGATGCAGTTATATGCAGTTTTATGAATGATTGTGTAATATTTTTGCACTTTTTTATTTTAAAGAACACAGAGTTAAACAAGAGGTTATCTAGCGATGTTCTGGCTTTTCAAGAAGACAAAAAGGTTAGCATAAAATAATTTAATGCCAGACTGACGAATGCCTCCCTATAAGCTGAAATGTCAATATAAGTGGAATGAAATTTTCATTCTTTTCCATTTTTAAGCCTGTTATAGTTCATAAGATAGTTCCCTGTCTGCCCATTCACTTCAGTTTCCAACTCATTTGCAATAAAAAAAGACATGAAAATGTCATGTCATATTCTTTACATATTTTATCAACATCACAAATGTTAATATCTAGACCATAGTCATTGGAGTTGTGTATCATATGATTCCTTGTTTTGGCAAAATGTGTTATTTTGTTGACAATATTCTGAATTGTTGCAACAAATAAAAACAAAGAAATGAGCACTTACTAAAATTCTATGACCAGATTTGTATGGCAGCGACACCTGTGTAACTGGATGTACAGTTTAAATGATGCAAGGTACTGCAGTATTATATGCAGATAACTGGAACTTTGGGGGGAAGAGGTGGGAGAAACAGTTTATTGAGCATGGTAAAGGCCTGAGAAACCCTGATTGTGCATGCTCACCGTCTCCTGAAAGTGGCAAGGCAGGTGGATAAGATGGTAAAGTAGGTGTATGTGATACTTTCCTTCATTGGACAAGGTGTTGAATACCAGAGCAAAGATGTAATGCTATATAGGACACTAGTTAGTCTACAGCTGGAGCTTTCTGTACAGTTCTGCTTCCTACATTATAGGAAGGGCATAATTGCTTCAGAGAGAATACAAATAAGTGTTAACAAGAATATTGCCAGAGCTTGAAATTTGCAGGCATGAGGCAGGATTAAGTAGGCTCAGTTTTTTTTTCTTAGAAAACAGAAGGCTTAAGGATATCTTAATTGAGGTGTACAAAATGATCAGCGATATGGTGGACAGAGAAGACTTATTTCCACAAGTAGAGAGGTCATTTGCCGGGGGGCATAGATTTAAGGTGATTGATAGAAGGGTTATGACAGAAGGACGTGAAGAAAAACCTTTTCATCCAGAGGGTGGATGATTTCTGGAATGAATTGCCCATTTTGGTGATTGGAGTGGTAACCTTCAACTCATTTAAACTGAACCTGGATTTGCATCTGAAGTGCTATGGATGGTGTTTGAAAGTTGGATTAGAATGGGCAGCTAGTTTCAACATAAATCAATGCAAATATGATGGGCCTCTTTCTGTGCTGAAACTTGTGTATAGATCTTTGGTTCTGAACATGATTTAATTTACAATAGTTAGAACATGATATGAATAAGATAATGACAGCATCACATGAATGGCGGTGATACATTTATAAACAGGCATCTTTTGTTTGTTCTGTTTAATGCATTGCTTACGTGCCTGTTTTGAGCTGTATTAAAACTAAGCTTGGCAAACTTGTTACTTGAAACTTGGCTCTGGCGATTATGTTTTGCTATATTATAAATAAAACATTAGGACTGATTTCTTCCAGCCCCTGAATGACATGAACAGTGGCAAGTCAAATGTGAAAATATGGTGAGTGTGGAAAAATTAGGTTCTCGACATTGAAAATATGGTTCAATGTTACACCCAAGGTTTCAGGCTCACTGCATCCAAAGCTGCACTTTGGCATATACCAACACCTTGCATTGTAATGCTTTTGCCAGGCTACTTTGCATGCAATGACAGGTACCCATTTCATCATTGGAGCAGGGTGTGCCTGAAGGCTCTTTGCTTACTTTCCTAGTACGCACTCACTCTCTGCCTACTTGCAACTCTGTCTTGCTATGCCTTTTTTCACTTTGCCACCTCTTTCAAAATTTAAAGGCTTACAGTACTTCTGTGTTCATTGGCATTTAATGCAGACCTGAAGCTAACTTGTCATGATTGTCGGCAGTGATCAGACAAGGTTGTGGGCATGTTGCTGTTCAATACCATGCTATATCAAATCACATGTACATCCTGTGCCAGTGGCTTACGCAGCAAAAGCATTATACGTGCTTCAGCCAAATGACCATGTCTCAAAGTCTAATGGGAGTAATCCTTAACCAAATTATGAGGGACTGTCATCAGTCAGGGCATCCCAGTCAGTCAAGGGTATTGGTTTGATCTCAGTCCAGGGACTTGGAAACGATAAGTAGGCTGCTTCGGGTGGTCAGGGTCAGGGATTCTGAATCATTTCAATCTGGGGAGTGGGCTAGGTGAGTGCTACAGGTCCAATGTAAGCAGTCTGGGGATTCATATGTCAGTCAGGGAGATGAACAGAGATCATTCAATTATCTGGTCGCTCATCAGTTGAGGCTGTCCGTCCAAATTAGTCAAAGGGGTGGACCACAGTTAGCCTGGGGTCTGCTCACAGAAGAGCTTAACAGGGGTCCCTGATGTGATAGGAAAATTTGGAAAGTCAATTGTGAATCAAACCTGAGTTGTCATAAATGTGAAAAGTTAATTAAACTCCTGGATTGCCCAATTCTACCTAACTGCCTAGTCCAGATAGAAGGAATATGCTCACCAAATTTTTCCATTATCAAGAAAGTATCCATTTATTGCAAAATATCTGTTTTTAACCAATGACAAAAAGTCAACCAGATGAATTGCTAATGTTTATCAGTATAGGTTGGACAAGAAAAGGAATAGGAGTGGATTTTTTAAATTTATGCAAATTAAACATTACTTCTTTTAAAACTTGTGCACACATTCATGGACTCACGAAGAAAAACAAACCAAGACAAACATTGAGTGGAGGAGTCAAAGCATAATAGTCCCGAGGAAGATAGTTCTGAATTATCGGTCCAAAAGCTCAAATTTGGATGAGTGTGTTCCACAGTCCTTTTCCTTTCTTCAGCGATGTCTCAATGTTACTTGTGCAGTGATGATCTGTCTTTAGTTTACCAGTTGCTTGGTTAGATCAAGGTGTCTTTTTTCTCCTGTCGGATTTGGTATTCTCCCTTTCAGCAACTGGAATATAGCCTTTTCCTGTTCTTCTAACAAAGAGTTGGAGAGGGCGGTTTTGCAGACCAATGGAATAGAGAGAGAGATGTGAATGCTGCAAACTTCTGGGGGTTGTTTTGTCTAAAGTTTATATATAATTTTAACACAGACCCTCACAGTGACCAATAGAGCCATGTTACCATGCTGAGCTTTCATGAAGCCAAAACAACTAGTGCCAATTGAAAAGCCTGTCTCTGGGCAGAATTGCCCTGAAGACACACAGGTGGCTTTGATTTGTTTGGACTTTTCCCTCACTTTTCCAACAAGGCAACATTGTATGTGCAACTCACAATGTGCTTCATAGCTTGATTTTAAAACAGTAAATAATTTCTTACGGAGCTTCCTTGGGTTGAAGCAGTATCTTGCCCCAGTTCAAATAAAAAGTGATCTTTACGCAATAGAAATGGAAAATTGCTGCAACAGCGCCCAGAGAGGCAGAGTAAGTGTGCTTTTTCTGTCTGACCACATATCTATATTTGTGAGCAATGTGAGGCCCTTCAAGGGCCATTCACTGTATCAGGCACTTTCACAGTACAGGTTGAAGATTCTTTTTCGTTATACAGCGCAGAAACAGAGCCTTCAGTCCAACTCATCCGTGCTGACCAGGTACCCCAAACTTAAGTAGTGCCATTTGCCTGCATTTTGTAATCATAGTATCCTGCATGTACAATATATGTAGTGCCCGACTATGTGGGATACAAATCCTGGTCACAAGCAATCTTGACCATCTCATTACAGGTTAATCGTAGTCATCTCTTTGTAACAGAAGTAATCAAAGATGATCTTAAAAGTGGCACCTGTGTGCCACAATTCACAAAGGCAATCCAATGCGTCATAGGCTGCACAAGAGCACAGAGTTGATTTGCACTCACCTTGAACTCTAGTATTTGCTAACATGCTCTTGTATACAATGCTGTCTTTCTTGACTGATGTGGGAATGGAGGAACAGCTCCATATAAAGAAGTCGCAGCTGAAGTGCAATAGGCCCAGAGTATATTGTCTTTTATGTCATTTAATCCAGATGAATGAAGCACATTTCCCCTGCAAACCTCAGATGTCCTGGGATACCGTCATAGAATTGTGGTTATCTGCTTGTTTGAAACTTGTGATCTGAAGGGGAGGTGAACATCCTATCCCAGTGGCTATCAGGTTGACAGCTGTATTTTTGTGCAACTGCTCTTCCAAGAATCCACTGGCAACCTGTGGGGATGTCTCAATCCTCAACCTACAGATGTGTCAAGCTGTTATCAATACAATATGTGCCAGATTACACTCCTTCATTTTGTTTCCCCTGTAATCTTGGGGAGTAGGGCAGCTTGGGAAGTAGTCTTTGCCAACATAGCTGTCTTCTCCAAGTGCAGGGTGTTACAAACAGCGCACGTATTGCATTGAGGCATCATATCATAGTGCAACAGCCCTGACCAACAGAAATGGCTTCCATTCTATCAATGTACAAGTCATCTGTGATCAATGGTAGGGCATCTTAGAAGTGTGTGGCAGGTACCCTGGAACCTGCCATGATGCCTATTTCTTGTGGTAGGGGTCCAGCTTTGATTCACAGGCCAGATGCCCGACTGGAATAGTTACTGAGAGGCAAGGGTTATCTTCTGCAATCATAGTTGATGATTCTGTTGTGCAACTCTCACCTGAGGCAGAGCATAGATGTATTGCAATCCATTCTTTCACTAGGGCCATCGCGGACCACTAGATAGGCCTGCTGAAGATGAGATTCCTAAGCTTGAATTGGTCTGGGGGCATTGCATTGCAGTATCCTCCAGACAGAGTGTGCTCCATGATCCTAGCATGCTGTGGTCTGCAGAGCTGGAACAGGCAAAGAGTGGATCTGATGGAAACTGAAGAGTTGAGTAGGAAGAACTTCACTATGTCAGCCTGATAGAGCATTGCAGCATTAGGTGTAACAAGCCAGGCAGTATGTATTGAAACTTGGTTCCAGTTGAGTTGGGTACAGTTATCATTCTTTGCCTCAATAAAAGATAATGTTTTCAATTGTTTGATGGCTTTCCAGCAAGTGATGGTGCCACATTGAACAGTGACAAGATA